GTTCAAGGTTAGTGAATACTGCTATTTCTTCTAACTCTGATAAGTTCAGTTTTAGTTGGTAAAGTTACATAAAATATATAGCTACATTTCGGCGATTTTTGAACTTTTCATTGCCGCGAATATGATTTTTACGGAGGTCTCTCTTGGTTTGCTAATCTCTGTAACTCCGTCTGTTATACGTTATGGCTTCATGGTTTTTAGTGAAGGATAATGCTGAATTTGCAAAAGAGAATCCGAGGTGAAGATGAGGACAAAGCCTATCTTGGCAAACGGATATCTATACGGGATAAGCTGCTTACACAAGGTACTAGGTTTTTGCTCTTTCGACTGTTGAAAAAAAGTGGTTAAAGACGGCAGATAGCAGCTTTACTATTTCTAGACTTTGACTGTTGTACAGACCTCATATGGCTTTTTACTAATTGTTACCGTACAAAAAGTTCTTGGGCTTACATGATAACAGAGGAAGCTTAATATTTCTCTTTTTATTTTTTACGAAGTAATTTCTTCGAGAACGTTATACGAATTACAGTCTGAATGAATATATCATCTCTGTAATTTTGTTGCCTTTTTTGCCATTCAACTGGAAAGTCATCAATGTTATTAGTGTGCTAAGAAAATTTTCTCTGCCGCTTGAAGTTGATTTTGTTATTTTTAGCTGCCTAAAAGTGGTTTTGGGAAGTCTTTTTAACGGGGTTTAATATCTGCTTCACTAGTTTTTGTTGTTTATTGACTAGGTTTTATTAAACGTTTGGTTTTAATGAGAGGAATTCGTTTATTTAGAAGTCCAAGAACTGGAAACAAGTTTACGAAAAATTAATACTTGCAAAGTACATTTTCCTTCGACGTCTGCGTTGCACAAATTTGAGCTGACAGTCACTCCTTCAGAAGGCATGTATAAGGTAAGTGTTGGGTTTTTATTGATTCGTTTTTCACGATTTCATTATTAAACAGCGGTAGAGTTTTTGTATTCGAATTAAAGTGATTTGATTTTCCATGCTTTTTGATCTGTCTCAAGTTTCGTAACAGAAGAGGTTTCTGCAGATTAAGATATTGAAGAAAAAAACTTTTAAAACTTATTTTATGCAACGATTTCAGAATGGCATCTTCAGATTTTCTATAGAAGTACCACCTGAGTATAATAATGTGCCGCCTATAGTTAAATGTTTGACTCGAGTTTGGCATCCTAATATCACAGAAGATGGAGCCATATGCCTTTCTCTTTTGAGGCAGAACAGTCTTGATGGCTATGGTGTGTTTATTAGATGAATTTATTAGCATTATTTGTTAACTGTGTTGTTTTACTGACTAAATAATTCAAATATTTCAAGGATGGATGCCTACTCGTCATTTGATCGATGTCGTACTCGGACTTGATAGCCTATTTACAGATTTAATAGATTTTGATGATGCGCTCAATGCACAAGCAGCTCAGCAGTGGTCAACAAATAGGGTAAACTTTTTTCTTACAATTTTTTTTTTTTTTTGTTTTTAGAATCGTTAAGTTATTACTAATAACTATCTTGGCTTTGTGACTATCATTTTCATTTTAAGAGTGAAGGGCTGTATGTTTATTTCCAGTACTAGAATCACAGCTTTTAAAGGAGAGATAAATTTATTTATTGATACTTATTTTGCAGAACTGACAAGAGCTATATTATTTTTAGGATGCTTTTATGCAAAAGGTGCGTGATTATATCCACAGATATTGCTAATATTCAGTTGAAGTTGCGGCATCTAGACGTTTCCAACGTTTTGAAAAGTGCAGCGACAATTGTGCACCCGTCAAATATGTCCACAATTGTTTTAATATGCTCTTTTCTTTCTTTCATTCTTTTTTAATTTTGTAAATGTTGTCTTGTAAGTACTGTGTGTTATAGATAAATGTAATTTTAGACCTATGCATTTATGCTTGTCACTTTTGTATTATCTAAAACCCAACGTTATTTTAGCATTAATTGGTAGCTTGAAGTCATTTGGGATGGGCAGGAAGGTGTTTTTCGACCTATTTATGAAAATTTCAGCAAAATGTTGGTTGATTTTTCTGTTTCAAACATTCTGAGAGGAATTACTAGGTTATTGATTTAAAAAATGGTACTAGTTTTATTTTAATTTGTCTTGAACAAATTTTTGAGTGTCAGGTTTTGGAATGCAGTATTTCATCAATACAGTATATTTGTTCTCAACTGCAAAATTTTGTGGGTTTAGCTATTCTGTATTAGGAGTAGACGTCTTGTTTTCTTTTATTTAATTAAGCTATGGGAAAGTAACAAAGACGTGCCGTCATTTCTAAACTTTGTCTCCGAGTCAGTTTTTTCACCATTACGGTCTTGTAGCCTTTTATTACCCTGTAAAACGCTACTGAGCGTGGCGGAGACTGTTGGAAGATTTTTGGTAGACGTATCTTCATGGCTGA